TCTGTTTTCCTTCGTTTTTTTTCTTCTGTTATTTGGGGGTATTCTCTCTTTCTCTTTCTTACGGTTTCGGGAAATGTAAATTTTAATGAGATGGAACGCAGACAAGGATTTCACTTTCCTCTTCTTGTCCAAGTTTTTCACATTAATTTATTAAATCTTCTTTGAAATTTAATCTATTTTAATTAATTATATAAATATATATTAATATTTTATATTAAATCATAAATTTATATATATATAAATTTCTTTATTTTCTTCTGACCTATTTTACACAATCAATAAATTATATTTATAATAATAGTAATAATTTACAAGCCATGAACTCGAATCCTTTATAACAGGCTTTGTAAAGATTATATATAAACAAACGTAGGCCCAAGTCAAGAACATGAGACCACTACCATAAAGTCCTTTTAACATATATGATCATACGAAATAAAAGTTTAAAATTGATTTCAATTAGATTCGAATATTTGCGAGTTTAAAATTGTTAAGTTTAATTTGAAAGCTCATGGGTTTAAAATTTTCAAGCTCGGCTTGAAATCGAAATAAAAAATTAAAGTTTGTCTCAAGCTCAAAAAAAATTAAATTCGAAATATTCTATGACTTAGTTCGATTGAAACTCAAACTCAAACTTAAACCTTAAGTGCATAACAATTTCATCTTATATTTTATAAAAATAACGTATAAATATTAATATTATTAATAGTTTAATTTAAAATATAAAATTTTAATATATTATTTTTGTGAAGTTGTTCGCTAGTTTTTCGAATTAGATATAAAATAATTAATTTTGGCTCATTAAGAATCGAGTCAAATTTAACGTTTAGTCGGATCCATTCGATTTAAATGTTAACTGAATTTTGACCAAATTAAAACTCAAATAAACCATTATCTCGTTTATATTCCTAATTAAAGGCTTTGACCCATATAGGGAATATAATTAAATTAGCATCCTCAAAACAAATTTTATATATCCATAATAAATAAATAAATTTTCCACCTTGGCTTCTACTTGTCGTTTCCTAATCTTTTTCTAAATGGTTGGTATATATAAATATATAGGGTAAACTACTGAAATGGTCACTTACCTTTCATATTTATATACTTTTACTCGTAAAAAAGGGTTAAATTTAGTCACTTAAGTTATCGTTTTATTGAGTTTTGGTCATTGGGAGGTTGAAGTTCTTTAAGTTGATGACGTTTCATGTTAGTAAAAAGGTTTAATTTTTATATATGTCTCTAGACTTTAGATAAATTACTAATTATATGCCTTTTTGTAAATCCAAAATAGTTTAGGGATAAATTATGTGTCTTCTTCTCCACCACCAAGTCCATGAAGAAACCCTGGATGTTGCTAGTTTGTTCCATCTCACTTTGTAACTACTCATGATTTCTAAGGCACCATAGCAACAATATTGGTCTCAACATTCCCTGGCAACCAGGAGCCTGGAAGTAGCTGTGACTGATCCTACCAGAAACATAAATATATAATTTGGTTTTGTATTACGAAATTGTAGAAATGATGAGAAGCACCAAATGTTCTGTGTTGGAACTTATTACGAAACTAGATGTTAACAGTAAAGGTTCTAAATCAAGCAAGGCTGGAAGCAAATGTTATAGCACATGGGGAGATAAAGTACCAAAAGAAATGGCCAAGTCCTTTTGCAATAGCTTGTGGGTTGATGCTTTTTGATATCCCTTTTCAAGTATTTGTACCGTCCTTTGCAATGGGCAGCTGTGGCAGCGGTGGTGGTTGTCATCTGCCCAATTCTTTTCAAGGGCTACGCGAGCTGTGACGAATATTAATAGTAGTTTAGAAATCGTGAGTAGTTGTAAAGTTGAGATGGAGCAAACCAGCAATATTCAGGGTTTCAGCATGGGCTTGTTGGTGAAGAACGACCAAGAGTAAAGGGTAAATTGATAATTTATACCTAAAGTATTTTGGTTTACAAAAGGCCCATATTAGCAACTTATTTAAAGCTCAAGAGATAAATAAAAATTAAACTATTTTACTAACGTATCAACTTAATGGCATCCATACGTTAATTATCAAAACTTAATAAAACGATAACATAATAATCAAAACTTAACTTTTTTAAATTTCGGGAGTAAAAGTGTATAAATATGAAAGATAAGTGATATTCCTGTAGTTTACCATATTTATTAACGGTAAATAATTTTTAAAATAATGATTTTATAGATGATATAAAATTTAATTAGAAAGTAAATAAGCTACAATTATTTTTCTTTAAAAAAATTGAATGCAAATAATAAATAAACATAATATATAAAAAACGCTAATTATATTGAACCAAGCCAAACATTACTAAGAGAATCACAGAATAACCCTCTCAAGAAAAAGGCGAAAGGGATTATACATTGTTTTTTTTTCTTACTTACAGGGCAGCAAGCAAATCTCTGTTCTCAGATTATGAGTGAAAACTCAACATTTGCTGCCCTGATGATCAACGGCTAACAAAACTCAGCCGATACACTAATTTTACATCAATATCCATAATTAAAACACTGGACATCTGGTTTGATTTGTCTTCCCTTAATAAATTATTGGACTTGGGGTTATTCTCCTTCCTGGATAATAGTTATTATCATCGGCCCTTAAAGTAAGGGACGACGCCGTAGGGCGCGTGGGACGTAAAAGCCGCCGCCGCCGCCGAGTTATACATGTGATCAACTTGGGTTCTTTTGACGAAACGGCCTTTGATTCTTGGCCTTGTCTCAGCGTAGGCCTTCCGTGAGGCGTATCGAACTGTTTTCTCGAATTTTCTCTTCTTTCTCTTCTCTCTGTATCTCAAAACACTAGCTTCCGATCCATTCCACTGATTGAGCTACTTGGCCATTGCTGGTTTCTGCCGAATGGCTATGCTCGGATCAATCATGGCTCCTCCCAATGGGTACGACATATCTGACAGGGAATTCCCATCTGAAACTACTCCAACTCAAGCGAACACGACGGTGAAACCTGAAATGGTTTGTATTCGAATCAACAGTGATCGGTTACAAGTTTATTTAAAAAATAAAATCGGGGTTGAAAGTACGTACACTATGGCTGAGAGACTGAGATTGGCAGCTGAAAGTTGGGAGCTTGTGCGGAGAAAAGTCAACGTGGAAATAATTTTCGATTTCACTGTTGAGCAATGGAATTGTTGTTGTTGCTGGTTTGATCGGAACTGGAACTACGCTGTCCATAGCTTGTTGTTGAAGCTGAAATGGATTGAGGTCCTCGAAATCTGTAAAACGGATCCGTTTGGGAGAAGCAAGCAAATCCCTCTTTTGATCTGACTAGTTTCCAAGGTGAGTTCAGGCAACACCCATGTACCGAGCACATCTCTTGTTGACAATTTGAAGCGTTAAGAAAAGGGTCGACGGGGACACGGTGGTGGCGACGAGCCAGATGGTTAGCGGAGTGGATATCGGCGTCGCAAGCGACGCAAAGGGCGGCGGCGTCTGCCTTGCAAGTGAATGCAACCTGGGCTTGTTCGCACCCTCGCACATCCATAACCCCTCGGTTTCCATATCGCAACTCAAAAGGATTTTTTTTTTAATTTTCTGGTTTCTTTTTCTGGGAAGAAACGTGGAGTTCTGGACGGGCTGTTTTGATTTGGTTTTTAGGGATTTGCTTGTTGGCTTTTGTATCTAGTTGGTGAGTAGACTAGAGGGCGGGAAATTAGGGCTGACGAGTGGGGGAAGGACACGTGGAACGATATACACATTAACAAAGTAAATGCGATTAGGACAAAGCATTGTGGGATATTTTAAATGTTTTAGAGGGGAAGAAGATGTCGTGTGTCTGTGCCGACCTGGACCCCATGATTGGAGTCTCTTGACGGGAAATATGAAGTTTAATCAAACTTTCTTTATGTATTGTGTTTTTAATTTAATATATTTTTTTCTGTTAATAAAAAGAATATGTTCATGTTTAATTTAAATGTTTTTATTTTTATATATAAATATATAAAAGTATAAATGTTTTTGACGAATTGGTAACAGTAATAATCAGAAGAAAAGGACGCCATACGATAAAATATAATAAATATGGGCGGTCATATGGAAAAAGAAATTGAAAAGACTGAACGATTGAATTAAACCTAAGGGCAAGGGCAAGTTGCAAAAGCCAATTGGTCAGCTTTGTCCATTGATTATACTCTACTTGTTTATTACATATTATTGCAAACCTGATATAATAATATTTTATGTGTACTTTGATAAAGAAATACATTTTTATAATGTTATATTTATAAAGCCCTCATATTTTTATATGTGAAAATTATATGCGATTCTTAATTCGTATTTTATTTTAATTATATGTGTGTATAATTGTGTGTTTATATTCATTTTTTTTATGATTTTTTTTAAAAAACTTTAGGTGATAAGATAACATTATTTTTATTTCTTAATCTATTAACAACAAATACACATTATACCAAACACCTATATAATCCAATTACTATAAGAGAATAATTTCTTTCATCAGTAATTTAAATTAATAAATAAATAACATACATTTTTTACACTCGTTTATTTAAAAAACAAACATAATTTTTTAAGTAAATAATATATAACTGATTCACAGGTATAATTGTTTCGACCCCTCAACTACCAGCGACGAGGGAACAAAGAGAAAATATAAAGGGCCGGGCTCGGTGCTTTTTCGGTACACGGGGTTTTAGCCTGATGGATAGCATCAAATGGGCCACTATAAGATGGAATTTGAAATTCTGCCCAACATTATTCTTTTTTTTTTTTGGAAAAATGAGTCCAATAACAGAAAAAGAAAACTCCAAAGTTATAATGATGTTCGTTGATGGTATATGCGAGTGTTTGGTCAATAGTATGTGTGTGATTTGAATTCCTTACAAAATAATGATAGTATAAAATGATCTTATTAGTTTACCATACAAAATTTGAAATATCAAATTACGAGGAAATTAGGTTTCACAATACCAAATATCTACGAGGTAGACGAGAAATTGAAAGGGAATGTGCTTAGGCTTACTAGACCAGCTTCAAGGGATAATCTCAGCAAGTCTGAAGAGCAAAAAGCATTGTTTTATTTCCGAGCAGTTAAACACCTTCATTTGCCATGGTTAGGGCAAGCAGGCTGAATCACTGCTCACATACCAAGAATCATTCATAAAAGTCTTTAAAAGAGGATGTACCAGCTTTGTCAAAGAAATCCGCTAGAATTATTAGATCGATGGACGACCGTAGCGAATTTGGCGACAAAGGTGAAGGGGTTTGATATTGGGAGCAGTATTCATCTCCATGACAGGGGTTTGTAATTTAGCCAAAGAGCCAAACTCCTCGTCCGTTTTGTAAAAATCAAATCATACAAGCGTAGGGGGGCGGGGCTTGGCGAAAACAGAGAAATTGAAAAAGCAAGGAGAATGAGAGAGGAAGTAGAGCGGCTCTGGTAATAAAGAGAAGGGAGACTCGTGGATTCTAGGGTTTTAAAAATCAGATAATTTATTATTTTTCTCCATATTTTTTAAATATTGATTTAGACGGTCCAACATAAATTTGAGCCGAAGTAGACAACATGCAGCCCAAAATAGACAACATGCAGCCCAAAATTCATGTTATACTCATAATTTAATAAAAAAACATCTCATTAAATTATTTAAAGTTAATATTCAATTAAATTAAGTAAAAATTTTAAACTAATTGAGTTTGTAAATATCTTTTATTAATTATAGGAGTTAATAGAATTTATGAAATTCGAGTAAAATTGAATCAAATATATTTATTTGATTTTTGTTAATAAATTATTTATAATATTATGATTTATTATAATCATTTCAGACTAATCAAACAATATTATGGTATCAATTGATTTTAATTTAAACAACTTTTTTAATCATATATATATATATAACATTTTTTACATGTATAAGTAAGATTTATAATATTATGAATCTATTGAGTGACACGAGTAATTAGAGAGAGTATTGTTCTCTCTTAAAGTATTGATTTCTAACAACTGTATCTGTAGGGTGTGTGTTGCCAATAGTTGGAAAATATTGTAAATTGATACTATTTTTTAATCATATTAAATTATTCAAAACAAGATTTATACATTTAATAAATTAATACTATTTAAAATTATAAAATATGTTACAATACTATATTTTAAAGAAATAATTTTGAGGACTACATTTGATGAAAGTATAGATGAGAAATTAATGAGATAAAAGAATTTATAAATATTTATAATGGGATGATCAAATTAAATAGTATATAAATAGATTAATTCAAAAGAATAAAATTTTAAAGGTAAAATGGTTCATTGGTACTGTGCACCCAATATACTTTTTTTTATTATACAGTTATCGGCATTAATGGTTCTTGATTAAACTTTTGATGTGAATGGATTTCTAAAACAATGACATTTCATAGAAACATTGGTGAATCAGACTAATGACGCAAATAAGGGTATTTGATGAGTAGATTGGTGTGGTTTTGCCCTTAATTCGAAATAAAATAAAAATGGCTCCTAAAAGGCTAAAACCTTACAATATTTTTAAGCATTTCCAAAAATTTAGTAAGGCCTCTCCAATATAATTCCAGGAGGATCATAGTTGCAAATCATGAAAACGCCACGCCCTCCGTCGCAAACCACCTTGGCGCACCCCACTCTTTTGGTCCTGCTCCACACAATCTGTGTATACTGCCCGCATTCCTCCCCCTCTGGCGCATGAATTCGTCCGGTAATCGTACCATTTTCTCTCCAAACCCAAACCGCCCACTGCCTGAGCCGGCTTCCACCCATAGCCACTGCCCCAAAAGATATTTTCCCGTACGGTCCGTTTGAGTGCCTCAAAGCGCAGTCTTTACGCTTTGGTTGGCATACCGTCGAGCGTAACTCGCCAACCTCACGTTCCACACACCAATGGTCGCAGTCAATGGCAGCACGAACTGTATTTTGAGGGGTCATGAACTGGTTCCAATGGCAGCACGAACTGTATTTTGAGGGGTCATGAACTGGTTAATTAGGCTCCGGTGGGTGCTGGCTTGAGGGGTTGAGAGAAGCAGAAGGAAAATGATGACTGCGCTATTGCAGACTCTCACTCCAGAAATTTCCATTTCGGACTGTTGCCTAGGCGGGCCAATGTGTCTGTACAACAATAATTTTCAAAACATTACACGAATAAATTATTTATCTATAATTAATTTTAAAAAAATACAATTACACTTGCAAATATCATACTTTAATAACTTTAAATAAATTATTACAATTATAAATTAAATTAATAAATAAAATATATTAAATTTGAAATTAAAATAAATTTAAATCAAATCTGCAATAACACACTTGAATAACTATTTTTATTTCTTATTGATTTTAGAAACGGGTAAGTTAAATGATGATTAAATTTATATACGATAAAGAGGAAAGAGCCAAATCCTCCTACTTAGCTGGACTGGAATGCTCACCATCCTTTACCCTCCAATTCTCAAACACTACCCTCCACTCTTTCCACCATGCTTCTCGCCGTCCTCACCGCCTCCGTCTTTCCTCCTCTTCCACCACCACCACCATGCGAAGTCATTTTCCTCTCTCACCATCGTACTCTCCCACCCAACCTATATCGTTTGGTCCTCCAACACCTCCTCGGCAAAACCCTAGTTTCCACCGGCCTTTCCTCCTCCTCCTCCTCTCCCCTTCCACTTCCAACAACAAAAAATTTCTCTATCTCAAACCTCTCCAAACTGGCTTCCCATCTGACTCTCCCGCTTCCTCTTCCAAAAACTCTCCTCTCTTCTCTCCGCCGCAAGCTCCCCCTCTTCTCCTACCATTCCATACTTCTCTCTTCCCTCCCAGCTTCAATCATTTAAACCGAACGATTCTCTCTTAATGTGACACAGGAGATGTGTGAATTGGGTTTTATGAGGAGAGGAAGGTTCGGAGGAGGGAAATGTAGCTCCAGAGCTTGTTTCGGAGACTCTGTACGCTTGGGAGGGCGCCTGTCTCCGCATTTGGCTGCGGAAAGGGAAGGTGGAGTGGTGGGGGATTCTGATTTGGGTAAGAAAGTGGAGAGAAGTTTGAAGGAAGGATTATTGGAAGATGCTGTTGAGAGGGGAAGGTTGGATGGTTTTTGTGTGGTGGAGACTGCCGGTGGGGTTGCGAGTCCCGGATCCTCGGGGACGCTTCAATGCGATCTTTATCGGTATCTGCTCTATTCTTCTCTGACGTTTCTTGTTCATTTCCTTTTACCCTGTCTGCTCCGTGCTCTCATTCTTTAGGTAGTTTTTTGCTTTAATGTAATTAGTCCTTCAGGTTCTATCTGGTTGGAATAAAACAATTTAACGGCTTTTAGAATTATTTTGTGAATTTGAAAATTACTATTGCGGATTTATATTTTATTGTGAATTTAAGAATCATCTGCTGTAAGTTGTAAACCACGTTCACGTTGATTGCGAATTATTATTTTTTGTCTTGTTGGAAAATTGGATTATAATTATATTGATGGCTACAAATGTTAACTTCTTACACATATGGGTTATCTTCATGCATTTCTTGTTAAATGTGTAATCAGGCCCCTACGCTTTCTGGTGTTCTTGTTGGATGGGCGGCTGGGTGGTATATCTGGAACTGTTTCAGCTTATGAGAGTTTGAAACTACGAGGTTATGATGTTATTGCTATTGTTATTGAAGATCATGGCCTTGCAAATAAATACCATTATGTCATATTTGCGTACGAGGTAGTTAAAGTTCTTTAACTTTGTTTTTTTCTCTTCATTTGAACTTCGACTCCGATCCTTTACTTTTTCTGTGTACGCCACTAGAAGTAGTCAAAAGTTGAGGCAATATCAGCCTTGGTCATGCTATGTAATGGGTTATTAACTTATATTCTTTTTTCTTTCTGGAGTGCCTGTGTTTGTGCTGCCACCCATTCTACAAGACCCATCAAATGACCTAATGGAATGGTATGATGAATCTTGCAATGTATTTAATTCTTTGAAAGATATAATGTTGGAAGCTTATTTAGAAAGAATACGGAGACTTAATGAGATGCCGAGAAGAGCTGGAGATGTTTTCTGGTGGCCATTCACTCAGCACAAACTTACCACCTAATGTTACAGTCATTGATTCACGCTGTGGTGAAAACTTTCAGTGTACAAGGTTTGTGCATTTCATATAATATAAGACGGCCAGTAGCTCAACTCACTTCTATTTTCCGTGTATACTCTACTTTTCCACTTTAGCATACAATTTTTTTTGGTTTTTCTTTCTGAAGTTAATTGTCAGGTTCTGATATAAAAAATAAATCCTCGCTTTTCATTTGTACATTAAATTACAGGTTCGGAACAAAGAGTACATAACACAACAATTGATGCATGTGCTAGTTGGTGGAGTGAAGGACCTGATGCTACTTTACAGGTCATCTTTATGTTTTCTTCTCTCTTTGTATCCCTCTCTTTTCTCTGATGGTGTGTTTTGTCCCCTTAGTCTAGTATCTCTCACTTTTCCTAATATGAGGCCTCTGTTAACATTTTGCCCTATTATTTGTTTGCTTGTAAAGATTGTTCGAGAAAAGCAAATGTGAAACGTAAGTTTAGATTAGGGAACAGAGTTTCTTACTCTCTGCCAGTGGGTTAATTGCTATTTAGATGCCCTTGCATATTCATCTCGATATAGAATGCTCAAAAGTAGGCATTATGTATGAAAATATGACTTTTGAAGTAAATTGAAAAACTCATATTGATCATATCCATAATGAATACTTAAAGCTATTATCAGCTTGTTTTGTGATATGGGATATGACCCTTCAAGGATCCTCCAGTTACATGAAAAACTTAGAAAGATTGAACACAACGGTCTAGACACATACTTGAATCCAATACTCACACTTTGAGTAACATAGCTTAATTCCTTCCCAGACATGAGGTGTAATCTACTTTATCTACTTTGCAGCTGTCACTTGTCTGAAAATTTTCTTTAATGCGGTATTTCATTTAGGTGGTTTCAGACTGAACTTGCAAGAGATATGGGTTATGCTGCTGCAAGATTTGGGCATGTAATGTTCCCTGAGAATGTGTATGAGCCAGCTTTGGAATGCGCAGAGCTTTTGCTTGATGGTGTGGGGAACGGTACATACTCTGTTT